GATTTAATAGGAAACTTGCAAAATAATTTGAGAGTGACTTTTACCATGTGTGCTACCTATGCCCCTTATGTTTGTTCACGTAGATCCCAAGTCTAGCTACATCTGCTAACACTCATCAGTTCATACCACTAGCAAAAATAGTGCTGTCACTTTTTATGTTCTTATCAGCAATTATCAGCCAGATTACAGTTATGTTTAGGAAAAATAATAAGACAAGTACAGTAACATATAGTGTGAGGAAGGAGAGATAGTCGGAAATACTTTTATTCTGCAAAATAAATTCAGTTTAGCAGTTACTTGGCGCAAATTATGCTAGATTTGAATGGGATATGTACATTGTTGTTAATACTAAAGACATTTTGAAGTCTTTTACAAAGGACTGATCCAGTTGCCATTTAAGTCAATGGCAAAACTATTGATTTCAGGGGATACAAGATCATGCCACATTCCCCACCCTGTTGCACCACTTTTACACTTGTGTAGGGGAGTTGGGAATTATACCTTCATTTCCCAATTACTCAAATTCAGGTAGAAAACTAAAACCAGTCAGTGTGTATGCAATTACAGGACTGGGATTAAAGTATGTCAGGACTTGATAAAGTATGACCCCAAATCCTACCCAAAATAAATGGGTAACTTTTTGCCTGATTTGGTCTCAAGGAACAAACCTTATCAAGACTCTGACATGATGCCTAAAAATTATGGCACTTCGTCTCCTTTTTGAAGGTGAAAATCATAGTACTTAGAAATGGAAAAGACATATTAGAATGCTGGAGAATGTTATCAACGGCAGGCGAGAGAGAGACAGACATGCACACGGACATCAGTGGGCTATAAATTGGGCCCGGCAGGAGTGGTAATACTTCACATGCCTCAGCTCAATAGCACACAGTGCATGGGACATTAAAACATTTTTATTGACAGACAGAACATTGGCCAGGACACTGAGTTTATCATCTGATCGGCATAAAGTCCTAGCGAGTCATCATGCAGGAGCTGATATCAGCAATTGGCA